TTTTTTTTTGCTACAGAATTGAAGAATTAACTAATCGCAAAGATGCCTTATAATAGATTTCTTTGTATACCTCGTAAAACAATATGTATATTTAGAGGTATTATTTTTCTTTTTTACACAACTATCTTCTGAGACTATGCTATTTTCTTACTATTAATGTGATATTTCTTATTAAACACTGGTCAGTTGTTGGCTTCGCATAGTTTACTGTGCTTTTTTTCATCACTTACATTTCATTCATTTCTTTTTTTATTCAATATTTTTTTCTTTTGCTGTTTTTTTATACCTATACTATTTGTAATGTACTTATTTATGACTGGGTATATTAGCTGCTACCGTTGTTGTTGTTGTTGCTGCTGCTGTCGATTGTAGTTTTTGAACGGTAAACCTTTTTTTTTTTTACGATTTTAGCATCACAGGTGGTTCAATTGATCAATAGGGAAAAATATATGTCAGCAAAATGGAACAACAACAGCAGCAACAGCAAAGTGATAACACAGTTGAAAGTAGTGGGAAGAAAAAAGTAACCAAAAACAAACAAGAAAAACTGGTATTAATTGAAGTTGTGAAACACAAAATTTGTGTTTTTTATTTGACCCCTGATATTGAACATTTTATTTTTTGTTAAATTTCTGCGAAACAAAAAAAAGCACACTGATCTTTTCATTTTTTTTTCTTTTTTTTGCAACAAAAGTATGGGTTCTCGTTGGGCCGACAGGTAACCTCATCGACGACACCGTTCTGTTGTTTGTTTTTCGTAACTTCCTTACAGTTATTACAAATATTACCTAATTTATCATTTCTTTTATTTTTTTATTTTTTTTTCTCTGTTTTACTTATAATTCTATAATGTTTTTGCATAAACAGTTAATAGAAAAGAGAGAGAGGAAAAAAAAAAAAAAGAAAAGGTCGAAATTGTTTCTTCACTGATTTGCTGTTGCAAACGGATTCTCAGTTTCAATTATTGGTTTCTCTCTCTGTGGTTTTTCCTTCGTTTTTATTTGAATTTTTAACCAATTAACATTCTGTCTCTTCAGTATTTCTTTTGCCAGTTGCTTTCCATTGTTTCTTTGTATTTTGGAGCTTTTAAGCCTTTTAAAAATTTTAATGTATAGTTACACATATATAAATATAAATAGATATATTTGCTTGTCTAACTTTTTTTATTGCTTTGTTTTGTGAAATATTTGTTTTAAAAAATATTTATCAGTCTTTTACTTTTTTCGTTTTGCCAAAGTTAGATATTTACACTGTCTACTTTTTTATTTGATTCTGATATTATTTTTCTGTACTGCCGTCCTTCTTGTCTGTAGTCAAATTTTTTAAAGATGGATCAGGGGCAGTTTGGTTTTGCTATTGATCGTGGTGGAACTTTTACCGACATTTATGTAAAATGTCCGGATGGCACAAGTAGGACACTGAAAATACTGTCTGAGAATCCGTCCATGTACAACGATGCACCTACCGAAGCCATCAGAAGAGTTCTTGAAAAAGAACTTAGTATTAGCATTCCAAAGGGGTCTCCGATTCCAACTGGTTAGTTTAATGAAATAAATTGCATTTTTGAGTAGGATTTTAGAATTTTAATTGAAAATTATTATCTGTTAGTTGGTATTTAAGCGTTTTTATTTCTATTTTTATCTCACTCATTTTTTGCTGGTATAATTTTTGTAAGCATTTTTACTGTTTATAATAATAATCATATTTTTTATATAATTTATTCGGATGGAAAAATAAATATGGCTGAAAATAACGGTACTAGAACATTTGTGTTTTGACTAGTGACAGTTTCTTCGTCACACCTGAAGTTGTAACGGTTTAGATAGAATTGCTTGGATCCGACTTGGTACTACGGTTGCAACAAATGCACTTCTTGAAAGAAAAGGCGAGAGAGTGGCATTTTTTATCACGAAAGGTTTTAAGGTTTGTGATTAATATTTGCTGTCGAAAACAATGTAAATAAGAAGTTTTAAAATGTTTCGCTTTTATTTGTTTGAAAAAAAAAATGTTATTTATCACTAAGTTATGCTATGCGTAAAGTTTTTCATGTTTAGATTTTTTTTTACTTTTTGTTTAAGGACCTCTTGTATATTGGGAATCAGTCTCGGCCAGAAATTTTTGAACTCGATATTCGTGTTCCAGAGATGCTTTATGAAGAAGTAATTGAAGTTAATGAGCGAGTTGTCTTGGAAGATAGGACTTGTATAATGGGTGTCAAGGGAAAACGAGAGCATACAAAAAATGAAGAGCAGGTGTAGCACAAATTTGCTGCATTTTAGCACTTAGTTTAAAAACAGCACGTTCTTCAGTTGGAGTGTTTGTTGATTAGAGAAGTTATAATGAAAAAAATGATCAACTTTGATTTTGTTCTTACTTTTTTTTTTTTTTACGTCAAGTATACGAATAATAAGGGTTCTAACATTGAAAATTGGAAAAATTTGTCTTTTGCGATGAATTGTAAGTTTCAGCTTTAGGTTATAATTGAAAAGCCAATAAATGAGGAAGAAGTCTGTCAGCAGTTGGATTATGTCTACAGCAAAGGAATACGGTCAATTGCGGTCGTTCTTCTCCATTCATATATGTGAGTTATTTATGAACAATTGTTGTATGCATTCCTGTTTTAATCATTAATTATCAGCACTTTTACAGATATCCTCGGCATGAAGAAATTATTGGCGAATTGGCTCGTAAATGCGGCTTTACTAATGTTTCCCTATCCAGTTCGGTTATGCCAATGATGAAAATTGTACCTCGTGGTTTTACAGGTACAGTCTTTGCTTTCTTTTTTTCAACTGTTTCTTCGTTTTATTAGGGTTTTTAAAATGTTTATAATAAAATATTTAATATTCAGTGAACAAGTTGTAGCAAAAACATTTTGTAAAAAATTTTAGCTTGTGCAGATGCGTATTTAACGCCAATAATTCGTGATTATATTGAGGCTTTTCGATCTGGTTTTTCTAAATCGCTGGAGGATGTCAGTGTTGAATCAATGCAGAGTGATGGCGGTTTGTGTCTTGTGAAAAAGCAAGTATCAATGTCTGAAATTCACAAATTAATCACGTGATCTGACGTTATTTCAATCAAATTTTTTTCATACATCTCTTTTTATTACAGTTAGGGCGGAAAGGCATTTAGTGCTTAATTTGTAAAAGAAAGTTTGCAAACAATTAATTATAGTTTTATTAAATTGGTTTATAAAGAATGACATTTCAATTTAAAATATTAGTGACTTATTTAGGGCTTATTTTTGTTTTTTCAATTGAAAAGGTTATGAATTTATTTAGGGTTACCTTTTTACTACAATAAGTGCAGTTAGAACCAACACTTAAGTGATGACATAGTCTTGGAACTCCGTTAGCGCAGAAACCTGCAGGTTGAGAAACTGTTACATGAACTTTTTTTGGCTTTTTTAGTTGTAGGACTATTTAAAATGAACAAAAGATTGAAGTTTTTGAAAAGTGATAGTCTAAAACAGGTTTGAAAAGTAATATGGTTTTGTCGTAAGTTCATGTTGCAGATTTCTAAATCTTCTTTATTGAGCTCAACAAGTAATGCTTTTTTCCACTGCCACAGACCACTAACGGTTTTCCACCAAGTTAGGGCACATTTCCTTCAACTTCTCCTTCTAACTGTAAACAGCATTCCTCTGCTGTGGTGGTTTTACTTGTATCAGTGGAGCCGGTCTGTAATACGCTCTCGATATGCCATTATAAAGCGATGATTGTGCTTTGGTAATCATAATCTATGTTCCCGGAGAATTATTTAGCACTTAAAATTGTCTTAACCAATTTCAAATAATATAAATTACTTACTTTGTAAGGTAAGTAGCAGTATGTCTTGGAACTGTATCAGTTTTGAAACTCCGTGCATGACTGCACAATTTACCTCTGTAAGTCTCTAAAGAGTTTATTTTTCTGGTGTCTTCATTTCTTTTAAAGTGGTAAGGTGCAAAATTGTTGTCGTCTGGCTGTTAACCTTGGCGGTCCTTCTAACTTTGCTCTTTAATACAACAAAGGTTTATAAAATTGTCATCTATATTTGAACAGTTTCATAATTCCTTCTTTGCACAGTTCTAATACAGTTCCTCATTAACGGAAAACTCTAAAATGATCAATTAGTTTGTAATGTTTGCAAAACTCATATTAAAAAAGAAAAACTGTAAGAATGAATCAATTGCGCTTTGTAAAGGAACTGCTGAAAGTGAATTTAAGGAAGAAAGGGGAGCTTAATGAAAAAAAAATGATAGTTAGTAAGATTTATGATAATTAGCAAGAAGATTCATCCATATACTGGAGAAATCCTGATTGATTTCTTTACGTAAAATGGCCTAAAAGCAGGTCACTTGGGGCAAGCAGGCTTTATTGGCTGGTCAAATAGTATTGTGGACTCTAATCATTTTCGCTTTTTTTTTTCTTTTTTTGAAATATTACAATTTGTTGATGTTAACAATGGCTTTGAGCTACACTTCCAAGTTAAGTTCAGTTATTATTCTGAAAAGGAATGAATTTTATGATTTTTTTCTAAAAAGTTAACTGCTTGTAATCAAGTGACTAAAACATTTTTCGTGGAAAGTCAATGTTTTTTTTTGCAGTTTTTGCGGTTCAAGGGCTATACTTTCCGGACCTGCTGCGGGTGTGGTTGGCGTATCCCTGACAGCTTACGATCCTGTTGCAAAAATTCCAGTGATTGGTTTTGATATGGGTGGCACATCAACAGATGTAAAATTTGCTGTTTCTTTATGCAAAATCTTCCTGTTTTTGATATACTGCATTTTATTTTAGGTCAGCAGGTATGCCGGAGAATTCGCCCACGTAATGGAAACTACAACAAATGGAATTACTATACAAGCTCCTCAGGCTTGTTCTTATGCATATATTTGATCAAATAGTTCTATTTTTTAATGAATCAATTAATGTTAGGCCTCAAAATTTGTTTTATTCACGGTCTACAGAATTTTAATTTTTTTAGCTGGATATACATACAGTTGCAGCTGGTGGTGGGTCACGGTTGTTCTTCCGTTCTGGTCTTTTCGTTGTAGGCCCAGAATCTGCAGGTGCGTCGCCTGGCCCCATATGCTATAGAAATAATGGTTATATTGCATTAACAGATGCAAATCTTGTGCTCGGTAGAATACTGCCAGAGTATTTTCCTCATATATTTGGAAAGAAC